TTTTTTTTTTTTTTTTTTTTTTTTTTTTTTTTTTTTTTTTTTTTTTTTTTTTTTGCTTACCCAAGCCAGTATATATTATGTATACAATGTATGGTATATTGTTTATAAAAGGGTCGGACCGGGGAGATTGACGAAAGTGAGCTGCTCGTACAAGCGTGAGTATAACGAAATATTATTACATGTATATATGTGTGAAAGGAGAGAGCGAAAAATGAATGGCCGATGGCTCGACGAGTTGGTTCATCGGCCGGAAAATAAGGGCTTTTCCTTCCCCCCTAAAATAGCCCTGCTGGGATGGCCTTTTTTTTTCTTTTACCCATATACGTACATTTGTATACATGTCGAGCTTTTGTTGGACGATTTTTCACGGCAACGTCGACGAGACCGCTTTTGCCTTTCTTGTATATGATTCTTGGGTTTTTGTTTCTTCATTTTTTTTCCTCCCCCCCCCCCCTCCTTCGCTTCATATGTATTTAATTATGTACCGAGCAAAGTATACGTAAGCTGATTTGTCATTCGATTTTTCACGGGATGTACATATATACCATTGTTTTTCTTTTAAATGCATGGATATAAATATGTACACACCTTAAAACATTATACCTATACCTGTAACATTTGTTTGGCGACGATATGATATCTCTCTAGGTATAAGTACAGCCTTGATTCGCGACGAAAGGCTTGAAAAACCAGTGCCAAGCGGAAATGCAAATAACACCGGCAATTTGCCTTGGCAAATATAACAACGTGCAGAGGCGAACGGTACAGGTATTATAATATATTATATATACATACATGCGGCCGATGTGGTTAGCTTTTATACGTATACCTGCACGTATACTACACACAGCTATATGCATACGTTAATTTGAAACTAATTCGGTTTTAATTAACTTGGTGAGTTCATCCGTTGAGCTCTACAATAGTGCGTGGGTGGTCGGGCGAGGGGTAATTTTGAACAATTATTTAACCCTCTCTCGTGGTTTAAATACGGCGGGTGGCCTTTCTTCCATGATACAACTTGATCTGAACTGATGTCTATGGACATGTCACATCAGGATATGCCCAGATAGAGTTAATTCAGGAATATAACTTGTAATTCGTGTAATGAGTTTTTAAATCATTTGGATGATACACATAAAAAATGAAGAGATACACATACCTATATACGAGTGTACCGATTTCCAACGGCTCCGTCGAAGCCCGCATGAAAAATTACTGTTCACTGCACGCACACGGCTAATAAACTTGAAAAAAAAAAAGGAAATAAATGATAAAAAAAAGCGGTGGAGGAGAAAGTAAGTCACTTGCTTGAAGAAAACCGAGATGTAAAACTAGCACGAGCGATAAAAATTAAATAATGTACATTGTGTGTTTCCACCGCGAGCGGTGCGCCGATAGCAATTAAGGAACAAAGCAGCCAAAGTCCACCGTGAGCTCACCTGAGCGTATCGCGCGCTCCGAGTCGTCGAATCACCTTTCTCGCGATCGCGTGCCTACAACTGACGGGACAACTGAATGGAACCTCCTGTATAACTGTATACACACGTGTTATAGCTGAAACGAGAGAAAAATGGAAAAAGGAAGAAAAAATGCGGGGAAAATGCGTAGGGAAGGGGGGGGGGGGAGGGGCGGAAGGCGAAAGTCGAACGGAGCACGTTCATTCGCCAGTGCCGGTCGATCGCGCGATCTCTCTGCCTCTCGTTTCCCCTTCTATACTCTCGTACGACCGCTCGGCTCGGCTTATCGGGGCATCGTGTGATCGCTTTTTCGGGGGACACAGCGTGCGTGCTTTAGGGCATGTGGATGTGGAACACGCGGTTATTCATCACGATATACGCATGGGGACGGGACAGGTGTGTCAAGAAATTGGGTTTTTTTTTTTTTTTTTTTTTTTTGCAAAATAAATCGGCAGATGGAGTAATTTTTTTACGAACGGACAGAATTTCTATTTTTTTTCGGTCACGATGATGTTTGCACAAAATTAGTGCAGAATAAACAATTTTTTTTCACCTATCCGCAACCCTAAACGAGTGCAGTTTTCCAAAAGATCGGCAAAATGGTTAAGTATGTATTGTATGAGAAAAAATCAATGTACGAGAGACGAGTTTGAGGCAAACTTTTGACAAAAACAAATATAAAAAAGTAGCCCAACCCACTGGAGGGACCACAAGTGTACAGTTACGGTATACAAATACGTTCGTCATAAGCGTACCGGTTTCGGAAAGCTATATAATATATGTGTATTACCAGCTCGGCAGCGTCACCCGATCAAAGTTCACTTTGTGCTCGCATACATATTATTATTATATACCTGTGTATATCCTTCGTATACTGACACAAATATTTCCTCTCGGTTGTTTTGTTTGTTTGGCTGTTATTTTTCTTTTCTCCTCCTCCTTTTTCAATGACACACACCCGACAAGCTGCAACGATTTCCAAACACGCGCACAAAGAATCGAAAGTCTTTTTTTTTTTTTTTTTTTTTTTTTTTTTCTTCCAAAGGTGAAAAACGTCACATCACCTGACCGCGAAACAAAATCGAGCCTCCTCCTCCTCCACTTCCTGAATTACAATCCATGACGCGATTCTCTCTCATATATATGCTGGAAAAAACAGTGTACCGTCACGCGATATGCTGTTCGACGACTACGATCTCTATGCATACGCACAAGCAACTTCCCTCTTGTAAGCAAGCCCATCTACTTATATAGAGCCAACATGTGTATATAATATATACACGAGCCATTCGTATTTTATTACGCATCGCGATAGACTTGGAGGCTCGTCCCTCTCGCTTCTCCTCCCATTCGTTGATTCTGCGCGTGTTTTTTTTTTTTTTTTCTTCCTCTTCTCTTTGGACGTTTGGCAATCGAGCAATTTTTTCGCGCTTACAATACATGTATGTATAAGTATGTACCCACGAAACGTGTGCAAAAGAGGAGGCAGATAATGGTCGACCTATGTACATTTGAAGCAAACAGCCTTTCTCAGCTATACTCAATCGAGCGATTTAGGGTAGGCGAGTTCGATGGGGGCAACGGAAGAGTTTTTTTTTTTTTTTTTTTTTTTTTGCGACGAGCTAATATAGAGGGGCAAAGCGATTCGACTGGCTGGTTGGCGAATCGTCCGATCGAGATGTTTATCGAACCCGCTCTCCCGGCTCTGACGTTGGAATTTGCCGTTTCGGATACACATGGCCACACAGAGACCCGCGAATTGTTCTTGCATCAGCAGTATAATCCTTTGAGCGAAGGTGGAAAAGTCGCGAGTGTCGCCCTTTGAGTTTGCAGAAGCGACTGCAAAGTTCCACCTGCCAAATGATATTTGTTTGTCTTGACAAAGGCACCAAAGGTATGTACACTCTCGCCACTTTGGTTTTGAGCTATGAAAGTATAGTATCGCGATCTGCAGTCAAATAAATTTTCGCACCATTCGTTTGTTTGTGCGAGGGTACATTCGGTGCGCTCCAAAGTTTTCCCTGCATTTACAAATTTTCACTTTTGATATATTTAAACCGTAATTTAAAAACTTCGCCAGATAAGTTAGTTGGTGCAAAAGGAAAATTCATTGATGCTTTTGAAACTGAGCAACTAAAGGCAAAAAGTACAGTCAAAGGATAAAAATTCTCCGCAAAAGGCGCGAACAAACTTCGGGGTGTGCGCGCACTTACAGCCTCCGTCCCTCGAGTTCATCGTTGCGTGCATTATATATTATACGCGTGGCGTTAAAAAAAAGAAAGAAAAAAAAAAAAAAGGGCTTGCACGCATGCACGAGCACAATATAATACCTGTACAGATGAGTTGGTGACGCATTTGCACCGCACGTGCAATTACCTTTATATGCAGCCGTACTTGTGTGTCTCAAAGCTGCGCAAAAGGCGCTCGCGCGTAGGTAATACGTATATACACGAGGTGTATAGACATGTTATATATTTAAGGTGAACGTGTGTGTTTTCATGCTTCTTGACTATATATGTATAGATACGGTATGTTTGCCACGCTTTGAAGGGGGATATTTAGAGTGCACGTCACCGAGGCTGCGACATATTAAGTAGCACGTTATCTTGCAGTAAATTGGTAAAACCACCATCAATTCAAATTAATAACACAAAAAAAAACGTATATAATCTCAAAATAAGAGTAATGATAATAATAATAATATCACCGCCAAGATATGAAATAACGTGTTTCAATATCCCATTTGAGATAGTACCACCTTATTCGGGTATACGTTTTTGGGAGATAAGGCGTTTTTTCTTTTACACACGACATATCACA